TGAACTGGTAGTCTAGAGAAAAGGCAGTTAGTAAAACTACACAAGGGTTATCTACGCTAGCAAGTCATCACTAATATTGAACTGGTAATCTAGAGAAAAGGCAGTTAGTAAAACTACACAAGGGCTATCTACGCTGCTAGCCATCACTAATATTGAACTGGTAATCTAGAGAAAAGGCAATTAGTAAAACTACACAAGGGTTATCTACGCTAGCTAGCCATCCCTAATATTGAACTGGTAGTCTAGAGAAAAGGCAGTTAGTAAAACTACACAAGGGTTATCTACGCTAGCAAGCCATCACTAATATTGAACTGGTAATCTAGAGGAAAGACAGTTAGTAAAACTACGCAAGGGCTATCTACGGCGTCTAGCCATCACTAATATTGAACTGGTAGACTAGAGGAAAGGCAGTTAGTAAAACTACACAAAGGCTATCTGCTCCAGCCATCACTAATATTGAATTGATAGTCTAGAGGAAAGGCAGTTAGTAAAACTACACAAGAGCTATCTGCGCTAGCCATCACTAATATTGAACTGGTAGACTAGAGGAAAGACAGTTAGTCAATAGCACACACCGTCAAGTCTTGGTCTACTCTCGTCTGACCGAATAATGGGATTTGATTATCACTCTTATAACGCACCAGAATGTAAGTGCGATTTTATAACTTGTGACAGTAGAGTTCAAACCGTAAACCCTCGGATCCGCTATCCGGCACGCTAACCATTGGGCCAAACTCTGCCGAGGTATAAAGAGGGTTGAATCACTGCACACCAAGAACTCTTCATAATAAACTCGAAACCGGGTTTCGATACCTGTGATGGGCAGAACACAGATAGCCCATTGTGTAGCTTTGTGCTTAACTTCAAAACAAACAAATAAACAATCATAATAAACTATTGATTCACGTCAAACCTGTTTTATGTATATAGTATTTATATGTATATATATATATATATATATATGTACATAATTTAAATAAACATATTTTCAAGTTAATATTTCTATTGCTGTTCAACAAACATGTTTGTTTAAAATCAGTAACAACTTAAAGTAGGAAACTGTGAAGGAAAGAACACGCACATTAATGGAGGGCAAAGATTCTTCGGATGTCATTACCGTGTGTTCTTTTTTATAAAGTCCTATTTTAACTTTTTATACTTATTACCCTTGTCCCCGGAAGGGGAGCGAGAGTATTGCAATCGGGTTCGAGTGTGTGTGTTTGTCTGTGTTTCCGCGTGCATATCTTGAAAACGAATATACCGATGTACACGTACGTTTTACACAAGATGGAAAGCCAGTATGGAACAGTCCTCCCCAAATTTGGTTCGGA